AGATAGATAGATAGATAGATAGATAGATAGATAGATAGATAGATAGAGTTACTTGTGGACTGTCACATAAAGGAAGTTTAAAGAAGTTTTAAGAGTTAGATTTAAAAAAGAAAAAACAAGTGTCCATCTTAACATGGTTACAGGTTCGTTGTCTGTAATGGTTCCAAGCGCTTCCCTTTCTTGAGATAGATTCTAACTCATCTCCTTTATTGATCGCGACCCGTGCCTCAGTAGCTTTAATTGACATGTCAGAGGCAGCCAAATTTAAAAGCAGAAGACACCTTGACCTTCTCACCTCTGTCACCTTGCCCCTTTGGGAATGAGATGAGGAAATTCATTGCATTTCATCACCTTTTGAGGGATTTGTGTGTGTGTCCCTGTTTGTATTGGCACACATTTGTGTAGGTAGTGAAGGAGACGTATAGTCAGTAGTCTTTGATAAAGAGCGAAGAACAGAAGAAGTGGAGAAACCAATATCCACTTTCTCGCCGCTGGAGCTCTGTGGGCTGGTCGGGAGCAGCAGAGTAAGATGAAGATCAATTTCTCTGCAGGGCCACGAGCTCAGCTGTATTTTTAATGCCCACATATTGCATTGAGGAGGTGGAAGAAATGAAAACAAGCGAGGAAAAATCTTGGTGGATTTTTGTCGTATAACCGAGATGTTGATTTAATTACTTCTTGATCAAATTCCGGCTTTCACCAAGGAATCTAGATCAATTGAGGGACTAATCAATGCAGTATGAGGAGATCAGTTACACAGTAATTAGATACACCATACGCCCAGATGAGGTCTAACAAAAGAAATCTCTCACAATGGTACTTTGAGCAAAGCACAGGTTTTTTAGCCCCTGCATATTTAGATTATTGAAGCAGAAACACATCATCATTTCCATTTTTGCACAAATTAATCATGATTAAAGATCATAATTAGGGTGCTTTAATGAATTTACACTGTAATTAGCACAACAAATACATCTTAGGATCACACTGAAGCGCTCGGCTATTGTTGTGGATATCATAATATTAATCAGTACTCACAGTTGAGGGGGATTTCAATAGCTTCTTGGCTGAGCTGGACGGCGAGAGAAAGGAGGGTGAGATAAAGGGGGAGGAGGTGGGAGGAGCGCTGCCCCCTACTGCAAACCTGCTGTCGCTGCGAGTGAGGCATTGCTCACTGTCCTGTCAAAGTTCCACCTGCTCGCACACTTACAGTAAAACACACACAGGGGCAATCTTGGTCTCACACACAAAAACACTCAAGCTGAGCAGGTGTGAGGCTGTGCCTGCGTGCCTGGGGCCTCGGCTCTTCTTTTTGTGTCTTTCGGTACGGCTTGTCTTGTGAATCTCCTTAAGTTTTCCTCTTCAAATCAGGTCAAAGCCCTCCTGCAGGTCTCTTCTCTGAAAGATGAAAAAAGAGAGACAAGGGTAGGGTGGGGTGGGAGGAGGACAGAGAGGGAGGGGCAGAGAGGGGCCATGTGTCACAGTGGGTAAAAAAAAATGACCGTGCACCATGTGGTCACATCAACAGAGTGAGAGAGGCTGTTAACAAGCCAATCAAAAGTCAACAAAGCACAATCCAAGGACAAAACATCTACAATGCCCCTGCACACACACACGAACCCAAAGTCTGCCTTTGGTTTTTAATGACATAACCAGTGGCCCATATGGAGGAGCCAGTCAGCAGGACAGATGGACAGAATGCCACAACAAGAAGCTGAAAAGCACCCTCTCAGCGCCCAGATGGGCCATAAGCGGACAAATGCTGACTGATGAAGAGTCAAATCTGATAATACACAAGACGGATAAACAAGTATTTTTGTAATTAGGTTGGCCGGCCAGGGCCGCATTACACACACACAGAAACACTCATATAGAGCCTGGGTGACAGCGCTGCGATAAAGATGTGATAAAGATGCTATCACTCGTGGTGAGCGAGGCAAGTCACCCCTCCTGGGAGTTCATTCATTCTCCATCTGTACTATTGGAGATGGTCCCCACCGCAACAAGCAGGCTGTCCTCCCCCACGGCACCAAGTGGCGCAGCCCGCTGACTGTTTACACTACTTAAGATCCCGGCACACTATGATTAAGACGTACATGCGAGACAAAAGAAAATGGCGAGAGAGAGAGAGAGAGAGAGGGTGTAGTTTGGCAGTTCTGCAGACTGGCTGACGGAGTTTTTGGCACAACTCATAGTTTGTTGGCTGTGTTACAACGGAGGCTTGAGTGACCTTGAAGTGGGGAAGGTAAGTGAGGAGAGGTGATGAGCATCAAGGGTGGGAGGAAGCTGAAGAGTGATGATCATCATTCATTTTTCTCTCATCCAGTGGGTGGTGGCTGGCACAAAAATGACTGTTGATGTTTAATTTGTCACTCATGTGGAGAGATCATAGAGCAGTGCCTTAGAATGGGAACGGGTATGTGGGATTTGTCTACAACAAAAGAGCCAAATTAGATCAAATTAAAGAACAAACAAGTGCTAAGTCCTTAATAAGGCAGTTTAAACTAACACCATTAGGAGTAAATGAGCCATTACACTCACTAGCTTTCCTTATCAGAAGAAGCATGCATAGGCGGGGATAGAACGGTAGGTGGGTGGAGGACTTAAGGGGAGATAAAAAGTGAAAAGGGGGATTGGAGATGGGTGCGGAGGAAAAGGGAGAGGTGAAGCCAAGAGAGGACACAGGGAGGATGTTTGTAGGGGTGGAGAGATGAGAGGCGGGGGAGGAGGGATGACACGGGTTGACAGCTGTGACGCTAATCCCATCCATGCACTCGCACACATAAACACATACATGTGCAGGATCTTTCAATCAGTGCATCATTGACTTTCTTCTTTATCCTGTTCTCTTTTCCAGTCTTTCCATCAGACTAAAGCCTCTTAAGCTGTTGTTCTTTGGAGACAGGCAGCCAATTAGTCTTAAACCAGCATCTCCAAAATGCCTTTAGTGGCAGATGAATGAAGCAAAGCTAGTTGGGGTATTAGTGCGGCTGTTAATGTGATCTTAAGTTGGAGTCTTCCTATCAGCCTCTGTACCATCGAGATGGAGAGCTTTGCACTGAGCGGAACAAAGTAAATCCAATACTTGTCCAATAATACTTCACTAAAAGACTTTACTGAACATGCACAAAGTGGAAAACACGTGCTCTTGTTAAGAGATATACACAGAGAAGGTTGTAATGCATGAACGGACTGCCTAGAAAAGAAGACGGGCACACACACACCTCAATTGGTTTGTCAGAGGAGATCGCAGAGATAAAAGGGCACGGCCCCATTGGCTCCAGTCAGAGGCCACACCTTACCAGAGATTGTTCCACGGATGCTTGAGATTCAGCAATAAAAGGGAACAATATAATGGACTGGGAGGGGTTAGAGGTTGTCGTGTAACAAGGTCAGCCCAGCCACCCAAACATGCTGATAGCCCAGACTGATGTGGTCTGCGACAGGGGGAAAAAAAACACCAGACACACACACACACACACTTACACACAAACGACTTCCTAGCTGTGTGCACGGCATGGCGCCAAGAAGCCATTCCATTATCACAGTGGAAGGAGGCTGACACTGAAGCAGATGCCTGATTTCACTTTTTCTGGGTGACTGCGGCGCAGCTGTCAATGATCCAATCTCAGGGCTTTTACCTGCTTCAGTGGATGGGGTCAAAGGTTATGTGTAGAATGGCTGCTTGCAGCTGGGCTGAAGTGACCCTAGAGTGTCTCTTGGTGCTTTTAAAACTATTATCACCACTGGGATGTCATGCAGTCGTTCAATCACGGGGAAGACGATGGGGTAGGGCCGTGCATGTGTTGAGATTTGCGGGCGTGGTTGTTTCTTTTTTTCCTCAAGAAAATGCCTGACTGCGGAGAAAATTAAACAGCTCATGTATGAAACTAGCCAAATTGGCCAAGCCAATTTTGCATGTCCGTCAATTATTCATAAATTGCTGCTCTGAGGCATTTTGCTCAGATAAAATGCAGACAATCCAGACATATTGGATTATGCTCTAAGTGTCGCTGTCATTATCACTCTGCTACAGAGGAAAATGTGCCCCAACTGCCACCCATTACACGGAAAATTGTGATCCTCTTCCCTTTTTGAAATGTTGCAATTAGCACAAGTTGAGATGGTGATTGTTACCAAGCACTTTGAGTGCTTAATGAGCCCTTCTTTGTGTGGAAAAGGTGGAGCAAAACACCAGCTCAGACATCAATAGCCGAATTAAGCTCTTAAATTGGTGCCAAACAACAACACAAACTCAACATCATCCTTTCAAGCTCTCATATCGCTGTATGAGAAGCTACTTTTTTATTAATGCATCCTGATATTTTATCTCTTCGCGCAAAATGTAAATATTGAAAGCTTTGATCAGATGTGACCAGATTCACGGGCTTGCGTGTGTGTGTGTGAGCATGCTCAAACATGTGTGCAAGTCTTGTGTCCTGTCATGCCTTGCTTTTAAATATTAACTACCTCCAGCTGTGAGGATGTGTAGTAGAAGAGGATGCAGGACAGAAGGTGGGGGGAGAAAAATAAATGAACATGTGCCCCCCTTTACCCCTTTCTCAACCCCTCAGGGTCTGTCTGTCTCCAGAAACATGAGATGAAAGAGAGAAGGATGGAGGGATATCGCTGGGATGGAGGGAAAAGAAAATGTTCAGTAATAAACGCAAAGATAGAGAAGCCACAAAAGAGAAGGATGGCGAGGAGATTGAAGGGTCAGATAGAAGGGGGGTCTCTTGGAAACAAGGTGATGCCGTTGGGGGGTATATGATCAGGCACCGTACAGAGTGAATTATTCATTAAAGATGCCCTTCCTGTCGGCACTATTTGCCCTAAATTCACCCAAATTCATAATTCATCTTCCTCCCTTGCCATTCATTTAGTTTGGCCCAGACTGGTGCTGACCATCTATACCTGCTGTCTTTGGCGTGGCTGTCTGATTCTCTCGTATCCACCCTCCCCTCCTTCTCTCTCTGGCAGGGTAATACTTAATGCATGAGCCTGTTGCAGTGAGACCAGTCTCAGAACCTCTTTGTCGCCACCAAGGAAAAATACCACAAATCAAATGAGATAATAGCTGCCTGTTTCTCTCTGCTACACAACCGTCATCTGTCGTTTACCTTTCAGCACGGATCATTACAAGATTCCTTTCATTTTCAAAAAGTGTTTCTACTTGGGTGCCCAGATTTATGATAGGAACTTTCCAAGAAGATGAGTACCCCGTTTTCCTGTCACATTTTGATTAATCTTCTTGTCTGTCTGCCTGCATGGTATCTGACACTAAAAGCTTTCATCATTTCCCCACCAATCACTTTTCACAGTACATTTTAGAGCTGCCTTTTCCTCTTCTCTCCTCTCCTGCCTACGTTCAACTTATTTTCTCTCCATCACCTTTATAAACTGCTGTGGTAGCACTCTGGCTTGGACAATAGGCAACATAAAAGCTTAATTCAATATTTGCAACTTTAATGGACGCGGGGCTTCACAGTGTAGCGCAGTGGGAAACCAATATCCTGCTCAGGCTCTCGCTCTTTATTTAAAAGGCCAAGTAACATTTGTTTCGAGAATGATGATGCATGGTTAACTCTAAATGGAAATTTACCAGCTGAAAAACGCTGCAGAGCTACAGCTTATCAGGAGCCGGGCTACACGGACAGCGCATTTGTCAATACCTCTATTAGCATAAGCTCAGCATTTAGAGACTTGCTACTCCCACTGGTGCCAAATGTGGAATAGTATGTCCCCCATTTTCAGAAAGCCTTCACCTCTTAGGAGGGCGCCCCCCTCCCTATAACCCCTGTTGTTTTGTCAAGGGTTAGAGGTTAATATTAGTGTGGCTCAAAGATGGAGAAAATAAAGGTTGTCAGAGGATCCACGAGGGCAACCGCCCACTCCATTTCCATCCTGGTTGCTATGGTAACACGGTCTCCACACAGCTCCCCCCCACTTTGTACATACAAATTCAGTTATTCACACACATGGTCACTAACTGGTTCACAGTATTGCTTACATATGCACACGCACGTACACACTATCGTGTTCTGGGGAAAGTAAATTCACACACATTCATATGTAACACGTTCTCCTGTCTAAGCTGCTGGCGCCTACTTGAAATGACACAATGTTTAACACAGTGTTAACATTCTCAAGGATTTACGAGGATAAATT